GATAAATGGACTGAAGGAAATAAATAGGAAATGGTGTCACAAAATAGTTGTCCATGGGCTGGGGGAGGAATTTCACTTGTTTCCAATATTTAGAAGTAGCTTTTGTGAAAAGATAAACTTTAATCTGAGCCCTACAGGATGAAAAGAAAGCAGTGAAAATCTTATATGAACAAAGAAAAAAAAGTCTGTGAAAAAAACTTGTGATATCTGAATCTGTACAGTGATTTAAGAAACTGTACTGATGATACTTTCCTGACTCAATAAATGTGCAGAAGGTGAACTTTAGGGGAAACTGGGTAAAGAGCACATGGAACTTGATACCATGTTTGCATCCCTTTTCTAAGTATAAAAGTATTTAAACGTAAAATCTTTAAAATACTTTCTAATATTTTATCTGGGAACTTAAGTGAATTTAAGAAAAAGAAGAAGGTACTATGTGTCAGACTCAAATGTTCCTGTTCCAACACTTTGTTCACATTAGAAGCATGTGTTCACACATGAGATAAATGGAATGCAAAGCAGAAGGCAAAACAGAGCCAAGCTCTGTTATCTCTGTCAGTGTCCTTAGGGTGTTCTCCACTGCAGCTACAGGTCTACTGGGCAAAAACTGGGACCCAAATCAACCTTCACGCCCAGCTGAAACAGAGACATTTGGCCTAGAGACCAGTTTCTGAATCTATAGGTTTACAATCTGCATCTCCAAAGAGGGATGCCTATTATATAGTGGTTTTCACCAAAATCTGGCATAAGAAAAGGTGAAATTGATACACTGGGACCCTGAATGAGGCTCCTGCCATGCGTCCTCCCAGCCTCCCCCACCCAGTGAGCATCTGAGACCCCCCACAAAGCCCTTCTTTCCTTTGAGCCCCTGGCTGGCAGCAGCCAGGGAAAGGACATCATAAGATCATACCTGAGTAACTTGGCATCAAAGACCATTTCCACATCGTGGAGGACCGACGGGATGTATTTCAAAGCGGCCACCTAGGGGAAGCATGAAATAAACATGAGGGATGCTCAGATCTAACAACTCTGGGCTGGTGAGGGGGATGCTTTGTGACACAGCACAGATCAGAGGAGAATGACCTGCATCCTGGATACTGCTATAATGACACACAACTCTGTGGGGAGACCGGAACACAGGCGTGTTCTTTGTACGAAAAGGAGCAATCCCAGCTTCTATCTTCCAGAATGCAGTTAACATACTGTATCGTGACTGTACGCTTCACAGAGGTAGAGATGGCTGGTCAATTTCCATTTCTACACCCTCTTAGTTATGGAGTTTTGGACAAAATACATAACCGCTCTGATGCCTGAGTTTTCCTATTTTGCAGGACTACAGGGATTAAAACTGAGTCACCCAGAAAAGCACCAGGAGTATTTTGGGCACTCAATAAATGATAATTCCTATGATTAAGGGAATATGGTGTGTACTTGGATTGCTGTTGAAAGGGGAGATTTGTATTAAATTATTTATATTTTCTCTCCATAGTCAAAGAGTGGGTTTGTGAGGAATAGTGGGCATGTTTTAGCCCACCAGTTGGGCGAAGCCTCATGATGGGCTCTTTCATCTCTTCAAGTTAGTGGATGTACCAACAGGTAGGACGCGCACCCACCCCTGCCTGGCAACGCCATTTGCTCAGCAGCAGAGGAGACTACAACTTCAGGAGAAGTTAGGAGTTACACAGACAAAAAAGTCACAAAATCCAATGGAACTATTGTTTTAAAATACTTTTTATTTTTTACTATGTTTTAGACGTTCTGTTACCAACATATATCATCTTTAGCGATCAGACCAAAATAAAGAGTAAGAACTACTTTCTTAAAATGTCAATGCTCTGTGCTCACTTCGGCAGTACATACACCAAAAATGTTAATGCTAGTAACATATAAATAAAGGTCCTGCTTAAACGAGTATGACTATTCTTTGACAATTTACTGTGGGGTAAATACTACGCTGAACACTGTTAATGTATTATCTTCCTAACTATAATCCTGCAAGAGAAATTCTAGTTTTATAAAAAAGGAACCTCAGTCACATCAAGATTCAAGAAAAACCTCAAGGTCACAGAATTAGCAAGAACACAGTGGAGGATTCAAATCCAGCCAGGACACTCTTACATCCCTGCCTTATAACTTCAGCTGCCCAAACACTTCACTCACATGACAATCTCTGTCTCTGTCTCTGTCTGTCTGTCTGTCTGTCTGTCTGTCTGTCTCTCTCTCTCTCTCTCTTCTCGCTCTCTCTCTCTCTCTTGCTCTTTCTCTCTCTCCCTCTCTCTCCTCCGTATGTGTGTATGTGTGTGTTTGTCTGTCTGTCTTTGTCTCTATCTCTCTCTGTGTGTCTCTGTCTCCTCTCTCTCTTTCTTTCTCATCTGCCATCTGCCATGTATGATTTTTAAACATCATTACAAGTTTGAATACTCTGGTTTCTCTTCAAATCGCATAAGTCTTTTGCCTTTTACAAGTTTGACTTAAAAATCACACAAAACAGGATATTAAGGTGAAAACTGTCTCTGACATCCCCCATCTTTGTCTCAGCCCCATCTCTGCTCCACGAGTGATCACTGTTAACATTGTGGTGATTTTCTTTCCAGATGACTTTGAACAGATGCGCACATCAACATGTGTGTGCATGCACGTGTGCATGCATGTGCACCCATATAGGTACATACAGCTTGTTTTTGCAGTTAATGAGGGGCCACAAGGTTCTTGCCATGCGGTTCATGGAGTATACTCCTTTCATTTCCAGCCATGACTCAGCAGCGCCCAAATGGGCATGATAAGCCTCTTCAACCACCCTGCACATAGACTCCATGCCAGCTTCAATATTTCCTAATTAGGGTGATGCTAGGGACTGAACTACATCCTCAGTCCATTTTTAAATTTTTTTCAATTTTGAGGTAGGGTTTCACTAAGTCTACAACCTGCCAAGGCTGGGATCAAACTTGTGATTCTTCTCCAGCTGCTCATGGTGCTGGAATTACAGGTATACCCCACCACGCCTGCGAGGATTTCTTAATTATAGACCATGTAGTATTAAGATGTTTGACATTCATGTATTTGTGTACAATCCCTGCAGGATGGATTACTCAAAGAAAAGTTAGTGGATTAAAATGTGTCTAAATATACATTTGAATAGATCTTGCAAATTACCTAAGTAGAACCAATTTCTTTCTATTCTCCTTTTCACTGGAAGCTTGCTAAAACTATACATGCAAACTTTTAAAATTTTTGTTTATCCGAAGGATAATTTATAACTGTAATTTGCAACTCTTTAGTTGCTAATGCAGTAGGGCATCGTTTTATATTTATTAAGTAATTGTATTTACTTAATTGCTTGTTCATATTGTCTTTCAATTTTTCTTTCCATGGGTGATTTTTTCCCCTGTTGGTTTGTAGAAAGCCCTGTGCATGAAAACTTTAACCCTTCACAATAACAGATTTTGCAGGAATGTTCTTTTGCTTTTATATTGTTTGTTTCTTTTCTTTTAGCTTTGTTTATCATATCTCTCATTTCACAGAAAGATTTTAATTTGCATGTTGTCAAAGTTGTGAAACTGCTACTTTATAATTACTGGATTATGTGCCTAGAAATCTGTTCTTTATTCTTTCAAATCTAAATAACAGAAAACAAGCCAGTGTTTGTAAAACAGTCTCTACTTGGCACTCTTGATCCATATGATGCTGTTAAGTATTTTGTATGGAAAAGAGGGTAACATTCAAATAATTTCAGGAAGTACTGCTTTAAGCACAGATAAACTAGTGAAGCTTTTTGTTTTGTTTTGTAACTGCAGTATTTTTTGAGATTTTAATGTGCCACGATGCATTATGACTTTGCTCCAGGCAGTAACAGTATGCAGCACATCCCAACCTAGTTGGTCAGTAGCCATCATTATCAGGAAATGCCAAGCAGATGTAGCAAAATCAGACACCTGCAGGACGGGGTACAGAAGACAAAGGAGTGATGCGGGATAAGCAGAGGTCAACTGAAAGTGATAGTTGTGTGAAAGCTACACTGTTTAAACAATGAGCCATCCTTGGTCAATTGTTCTAACACTGTATTGGCCAAGCAAACACATCTCAGCCTACATTTCTCCCAGCATCTAAAGTTCAAAGAGACCAACATAATTAGGCCCATGTGTAACTTGAGAAATGGTAGTTCAAACACTTCTAGCCAATTGTTTGCTTGTAGGTCTTTAGGACCATAAGATTGCCAAAGAACTAGGTGTGAATCTCAGCTCTCTTCTTGGTCTTGGCAGAGCTAAGACTCATTTTTTATTCTCTAATCCTCAGTGTCCCTAAGAATTAATAAAATAAAGCCTATCTGGACCTGTGATGGGGTCTAGCATGCACTAGGCCTTCCCAGGTGAGGATGCCAAATCTCTCCACACCACATCTCTCCAGCACCTGCCTTCACTCTCCAATGCCCAAAGAACAATGTGGCTTCTCTGGCTGGGAGTGGTGGCGTACGCATGCCTGTCATCCCAGGACTCAGGAGGCTGAGGCAGATGGGTCTCTGTGAGTTCCAGGAGAGTCTGGGCTACTGCTATGATTTGTGTCTAGCTGTCCTCCCAAAACCTCATGCAGCCATGGGGAGGATTCCGGAGTTTGTGATTAATTCATGATCCAGTGCTGGAATTAAGGTGTGAGTACTGCACTTGCCCTGGAATGGATAATATGCATACAATGTGGGGAAGGGAGAGAGGCTTGCTGGGTACTGCAGCTGCTGCTCCTCCTTCTGCTCTTTGCTGGTTTTCCATCACCATGAACTGCTGCCCTCTTCCATGTGCCACGCTGCCTTAGTGCCAGCAGAGTATGGAATGAAACCTCTGCTAACTGTGAGCTAAATAAACTTTTCCTTTCTTAATTTTGGGTGTCAGTTATTCTGTCCCAGCAACAAGAGAGAAGTAACTGAGACAGCTACTTACTGAGTTCAAGGCCTGGCTGAACTACATAGTGAGACCTGTCTCAAAAGGGAACAAAAGTAACTTCTCATAATTAAAAGCAAAGTGAGAAAATGAAAACAGAAAGAAACTCCTCCATCAGTGAAGAATGTCAGGGTTTCAGCCTCTGCTAAACGCTGACCGCTTCCAAGAGCTGCAGACCTATCACCCTCAGGCTGTGGCATGCCACAGAAGTCTCACAGTCACCAGGAGTGTCCACAGATGCCCTTACCTCCACGGATTGGCTATTAGCCAGGAGGAGCGTGGCAGGTGGGAAGTGTAGCAGCACAAGGAGCCAATCTTCTCAGCTTCCCAGTCTGGGCTGGGAATAAAGTCAAAACTAAGGAGCTGTCACTTGAAACTCAGAGAGTGTTATCAACACCCTGGGAGACTATTAAACTTTCATCTGACCCAGTTGGGCATACAGAGCAGCAGTGGGCCTGTGATTTCCTTTGCAGGTGAGGACAGGCTGTCTCTGACTTTGAAAATTTGCCAAGACTGTTGTCACACCCAGCACTGGCCCTGGGAACTGTGTAGCTTTGCTGTTTCTGGGCCTATTTCTCTCATTACTACTAGTACTATATGTGAAATAATATTGCAGCATTATTATTTTTATCCCATAGCATATATTCCTGTATGGCACATAATTCTTAAAACACATTCATGCATAAGTACACACATAGATTATATATAAATATATATATATATATATATATTTGTATTGTTTAAAGTAAGTCCATTATTGAAATTCTATATATGTCAAATACTTAACATGCATGATCTTGCTTAATTTTTGAGACTACCATGAGTACATATTGTCCAACAATTTTACCAAGGAGAAAACGATGCCACAGAGAAGTCAAGTAATTTGCCAGAAGCTATGTAGCTCATAAGCTGCACAGCAAGGAAGGGGTTCTGACTGCCCAGCTTGCTGTTAACCAGCATACTCTACTGTTGCTTATCATACTTGGGCAAAGGTATTTCCTCTTGATAAGTGGGGCTTCAATAGGGGACAGAAGGCTGGTTTATTCAATAACA